ATTTTTTAAAATCATCAATAGCCAAGAAATCAATAAAAGTCGTTTTGGATCTTCTAGTTTTCCGAAGACATTTTGAAGCGTATACGCACTTTGGACACCAAAAGTAATGCAACTCATTTTTTTTTTTTTAATTTCAAGGGTTATATGAGCTATAGACACCAAAAATATATTCCCGTTCACTCAAAAATTTAATTAAAAAACACAAAAGTGAAGGTATTATAATGTTATTATAAAAATCAATCTAGAAGACCAGATTTTTAACATATATCACAAAAGTTATGGGATTCCATATCATAAATATTTATATAGAAACTTAGTATTTTTTTAGTTTATCTCGTAGCTCTTAAGATCTATACACTCCAATTTATATCTAAGAGTATTCATCGAATATTCAATTTTAGGTTTATATCTTAGCGTATTCATCGAATATTCAATTTTAGGTTCCCCCGCCACGCGATGTCTTTCATTTTTAGTGCTCGGTGCAAAAAAAAAAAAGGAACCGCATATTCATAGATATTTTCTTGGGCTTTGGTATATAAGCTCATATGTATTTCACATTTTAGCCCTGAAAATTTCAAACCAATCGGACAGCTAGCACCGGAGCGTTTTTGATGGGGGATATGTGGAAAGAACAAGCACAACCGCTGCACAAAGTGCTTAGCTTGTGTGTGTTTCTTTGTGTAAATAAGAAGTAAGCTAGAATTCCTTACAGTATCTTTTGGGCACTCCATTTAGGGTAAATCCGCGTCGGCCACTCTCATCTATGAAACGCTTGCTCTTTATAGCTAGCTAGCTACTCTGGCCTTCGGCAAAGACAATATTATACCATACACTAGCCTGGGACTCAAAACTAAATACTCTATATTCAGTGAAAGGTAGTTTTGTACATTTTATGCCTTTTTGCGCTAATTTCCTGTGTGTGTTAGTTATTTATTCAAGTTGAGCATTTCTTTTTGGATTAGACCAAACACCATTGAAAAGGTGCAAAAGGTGCACTTTACTTTAATATCATCCCCGAATTCCTCTGTGAGTGCAATGTATACAATATGTGCGCACAATACCTTGTGCCTCCACCCCCTCTATCATTATGCTGCATGCCCCAACTGGCAGCTGCTATTTGACACCTAGCTGCAACTGCTTAACATTTCAAAGCATTGGCCGGATACATTGGGCAAGTTTTGAAGTGCGTAGACGGGCAGACACAATGCAATTTCGTTCGATGCAACTAAATTGGCTCATTAGCAGACAAAGAGCCGAATTTCTTTGGGCTGGCTTGGCTGACTTGGCCATGGCCAAAGTTTCAAGTGTATGAAGGCAATGTTCTGTTCTAAATCAAACAAAATGTGAAGGCAAAGTTTTATCCACACACACAAGCACCCGTACACACACGCACTTCTTTGGGACAATTAATGATCAGAAGGGAGTTTTTCGTGCTTCGATTGTGGTTAACCTCGGCCGCTGTGTAAACCCCACAATGGCCACGAATTTCACGGCAGCAGCTGCATGGCCTAATGCAACGGTCGAAATGCAAATAGTTCGATGCCTGCTTTTGGCACAGGGACTCTGACAACAACAACAACAAGTGGGTACATTGCAATAAGCTGCAGCCGACTGCACAATCCTCTTCTCACAGCACGACTGCCTGGGGAGGACAGGCTTCAGCACGACCTTACAATTTTTTATTAACCATTTATGAAATCTTCGATCATATTAGCTGGATACAGAATAGCCGAAAAAATGTTCGATTTAATCTAATTTATCATAAATTGAATAGTTAGAGCTCAGATATGACAAATCTGGTTCACAGCCATGGAATCATCCGAAATTTATCTCCCTGATAAATTGGATTAAACTGACTTTAAAACAGACTTTTAATTTGTGACTTACAAAGAAACTGTGACTCTTAACGTCCGACATTAAAATGCGAATTTTGAACTAGACTTTCAAACTGCTTTTCATTCTGCGGCTCTAAAACTGACATTAAAGCTGTGGTTTAAGAACTGTAACTTTTAAACTGTGTATTTAAAAGAATGACCTTCAAACGGTGACTTTAAAACTGTATTTTTAACTTTGATTTCAAGCTGTTGTTTCATACTGTTACTTTCAAACTGTGACATTAAAACTATGTTTTTCAACTAGGCTCATTCTTGAGAGGAGAACTTGTGTAGCTGACAAAGTTGGTAACTCTCAGTCTAGAACTGTGGGAATATTTATATTTGGGGATTTTTCCGCTCACCAATATAGTTTAAAAAAGTCCTTGTTAACGATTTAACAAAACCAATATACCCAACTTAACTTTGCGAATAGAGTAATGCAAGATGAGACAGCACTGGTAATGCGTTAATTTATGGTCGCAAGATAAACAACGAACAGACCGAAACGATTGAACGGTCGCCGAGGCAGGGGCCGAAATGATTTAAAGGTTTGGTCAAGTATAAAACGTGTGTCCACTAAAATGCAATTACTTAAAAGCGACTGCGAACTCTGCAGAGCACGAGAAGTGGGCGATAGTCAATGGCTGTTTATGCCCTGAACCTATCGAAGTGGTGAATAAAGATATACTTTGCAAATGCAATAGGAGAGCAGAAGGCTTCTCGGACCCCATAATAATAGAGAATAAATTTAATATATATACTAGATGCTTGAAATATTGAATATTGCTTTATTTTTACCATATCTCAGAGCTTATAAGAGCTGGAGACACCAAATTTGGTATGTTGGATATCTTAGAGTTTTCACCGATGCAGAATATATCACTTTTTGGATTTCTCCCAAAGGAGAGCTTTATATACATAATTATAAAAAACGCATATTTAAGGAGCATAGTTTTGGACTTCGGTATTTACACACATTTGGATGTAATTTTTGAGATCTGAAATTTCATAAATATCACGCTATAAATATTAGAGTTCTTCAAGAATACATTTCACATAGTATGTGTACATAAAAGGAAGTAAAAGTGTTTTTAGCGGCAGCTCGCGGAACAGCTCAGAAAATCTTCTAGTCGGGCACACCCGACTTGTGTTTTTTTTTTTCTGGCAATTGGCCAAAATGTTCTTATTAAATATTTGATGCTGCCGAAGAGACGCGCGACAGGCGTCACATAATAAAATTGTAAAACACGAAATTTTATTGAGCTTCGTTGGCGCTCTTAAGTTCTGGCAGCCTTTATTGAACGTGGCAAATGGCCGGCAAAGTGAATTTTTATGCCACCCAAAACGCACGCGGCACGTTGCAGGAGCTGCAACAGCAGCAGCAACAACAAAGATGAGCAGCTGTGGCTGTGCTCCATGTTGTCCTTTGCCAAAGTATTTTTAAACTAATTTTCCAACTGGGAGCATTTCGTTGGTGTCGAACACATCAGCCTTCTGGCCAAAATGTCTCTTGGTTGGCCAAGTTTGGTGTGCTTGGTATGAAGCTAGTTGAGCCGTAAATTATTTTAGCGTTTCAATTTGGCCAGTAAGGTGACCAGTTAAGGAGTGGAACAAGTTTGGACCAGCACAAAGTTAGCCAATTTCATTTAATTACAATTTGCATTCAAAATTTGCTAGCGTGGACAAATTGTAAAGACTCTGTTGGTATCTTATATTCAATTCATTTAAAACAAAACTAATATTGTTAGTAAACTAATTAATAGCTGAAACTCTGCAGAACTTGTTAACCAGTCTTTCTGGCTAGCTTATGGGCATATTAAACATGGCTGCAAAACAAGCAACAAATTTCGGCGGTTCGGTTCAAGGTTCAAAGCCAAGCCTCGCTTTAAGGTTCGGCTCGTTAAACAAGTCGTTAAACAAGTTATTTAACCCAGGCTTTGTTTAACGAACCTTTGTTCGTCAAATTTCTTTTCAGTTTTAATAATAATAATGATAATAATAAAAATAATAATAATAATAATAATAATAATAATAATAATAATAATAATAATAATAATAATAATAATAATAATAATAATTATAATAATAATAATAATAATAATAATAATAACAATAATAATAATAATAATAACAATAATAATAATAATAATAATAATAATAATAATAAAAATAATAATAATAATAATAAAAATAATAATAGTTTATACAATATAATAAATACTTAAAAAAAAGAAAAATCTTCAATATATAGTTAAATTAAATAAAAATAACATTTTTTTACATTGTATATATGTATATATATAAATATATTATTTTACTAAATTACCAGTCAAAATGCACATCTTTTGATACAATTAGTTTTGGGACCTTTGGTTAACTAACGTAATCATTTTAGAATTTGATCTCAGTAAAACTTGTATTATTAATATGATTAATATTAATAGTTTTTCTTTGTCTTTATACAAAATGATTTAAAACTTTAATGTACTTTGAAACCTTGTGCCAATTTGCGTCAGTCTCAAAAATACGCAATTTAAATCAAGCTTTAAGCTCTAATGTGCTTTAATTGCTTCTTTCAAAGATTTGTATTTGTTAAAGCTCATTAAGCAATAAGAATATTATTGTTACGCTTAAAAAATAAGATATTCTTGTTACGCTTAAAAAATACTTGGTCTAATAGATTTATTATTTTTATTCGCCAAAAGCTCGAAAAAGTGATTTCAGATTTTATCTGCTGCAAAAGCTTGCGTTGAAGTGTAACTGTGCTTTCAGCCTTATCATAAGATCTAGCAATATTCTCTAATATTCTCTAAATAAGCCACGAAAGCGAAAAGCTTGCGGCTAATTGTAACAGTGCTTTTAACCGAATGACGCAAAAAGCATTACAAATCAAGCTTTAGGTCTTTTAATAGTTTTTTCACTGATCTCCCTTTGTCAAAGCTCATTAAGTATTTGGAATAATTACGGAAAGTCTTAAAAAATAGTGTAAAGCTTCGGTAACAGAGTCTGTGGAGTCCAGAGTTACTTGATCTAATATGGTTTTTATTTTTGGGCTATTTTTAAATGTATTTTTAAAGCTGTTTAATTATTTAGTTTTCAGCGGTGCCATCTTTATTCCTGACTTTGTGCACAAGCTTTTTGGTACTTTGGCTCTCGCGCGTCTACTAAAATGTCAGCTAAGTTAAAATGTCGAATGCCGTTTATTAGCGCATTTCGTCCTGCACCTGATGGCCATCAAAAAGCGCCGTGCGATGCTAAATTTGCGGTTGATGAAAAGAAAACGTCAGCAACAAGCAGCTTCACAGCGCAGCCAGCGAGAATTTATGACCCACCGCTCGAAAGGCAACCCAAGGCACGTTCACACTTCACACTTTAAGCTGCATTTAAGGAACTCGTATATCTTGACAAAAACATTTATTTACTTGGGCACCCGATAGTTACGCTTCTTGTACATGGCATTTACTTGGTCCACAACGTTTTCATCCAGCTCGACGCACGTTGCGGACTGCTCCTCACCAGAGGCGTCTGTTTCGTTGGCCCCAGCCCTGGAGCCGGATGCCGTTTGCCTATTGTCCACTCCGGGCCGAATGATATCCGCCGTGTTGCGACGTGCTGGTAAAGTGGGGACAGATCTGGGTACGAAACGCACTTCAGTCTCCTCGCAGCATTGGGTCAGGCAGCAGAAACAGCAGCAGTTTAATAAGAGTAGAGTGAGACAAGCCAAGGGTATTACAACATAGAGCAAAGGTATGTGCAAAAAATTATCCGATTCGTTAAGATACGCCCAGAACTTTTCAAACTCTGCTGTGAAATCCATTTTGGGTGGGCAGACAAAAGCTATGCGTGTTCGTCGACGAAGGAAACAAAACTGAAACAAACTGCAACAAAATCGTTCAGAAGACTTAAGGTATTTATTTGTGATCAGAAAGGGTATTTATAAATAATATATGGGACGTGTTTGTGGCTTTTGAGGCTGCGGGCTGTGATTCAGTGCATTCTTTAAAAACAATAGAGAAATCACAAAAGTTTTCAGTGCAATGATGTTAATGAGCAATCAGCTGCTTATCGGCTTTATATATCCTGTTATACCCTATGCATAACTGGCTAAGGGTATCAAAATGTTATGCAAACTCTGGTACAAAGGGATAGGCAAATATTTAACCAAGAATATATCATTTTTTTAGTAATCAGAATAGAAATAAATAAATGATCTCTGCCAGTAGAAGAAATTCTTGAATTGATCTGAAGAACTGTCAAAACTTAACATAGTTTAGTTTTTGTTGTATGCAATAATTACATTTATTTAAAGACGAATACAAAGGATTTTTTTCATTTATAAAAAACTATATATATATATTTATATATACATCAGAGTTTGATCTTGTAGTCATAATTTAAAGCCTTACGATAAATTTTATTGGTTCGGCTTACAGGGTATCTGCAAGGCGAGCTCTCTGGAATTCATATCATAGAGTTTCTTTTTGTGAAATAGAGTGGACCAGGTATATATATACTTACCTAAATATCAAGGCCCTAAGATAATTTATATCGGTTCGGCTTACAGGGTATCTCCATGGCGAGCCCTGCTGAAATTCAGCTACTCGAATGTTGTTTCACAATTACGATTTAGCTTTACACTGAGCTTGGTAAAATTTTATATAATGAATTACTTTAATTAATTATGTAAAAACTAGGAAAATTTAAATTTTCTCATAAAGAATATTATATAAGATAAAATTTATTACATGTTTATACGAAAACCCATTTTAAACTATGGCATTGGGTAGTTCCTGTATGCATGCCACATGTTTAAGATATGGAATAATAAAAACAATGAAAACATAATAAAAATATAATCGTGCGTAATATATTATAATAAAAACAATAAAGCTATAATGCGCGATGTATGTTAATTATAGCTGACTTTTTAAAGCAGACACTTAATATATAAACAATTTGTTCAACAAATAGTTCATTTTTACACATTTTTTTCTATTATTATATAACACATTATTATCAAAGTGGATCCCTTATATATTAGAGTCTTGGCTTCGTATCTTTTTTTTTTGCCTAAAGTCAAGAATTTTATAAACAAGCACAATTTTTCAATACAAAATATAAAAACACATTTTTCAATTTAATTATTCACAATTGTTGTTTACATTTGTAACACATGTTCATTAAGCTTTTTTAATGCCTATATTATGTAAGTATTTATTTATATTCATTTATTTTTTTATTCCATTTTTTTTATTCAATAAAAAAGAATTTAATTTGTACTCGAATGCCGCACCATCGCGTCACGCATTATAATCCAATACTTAGATTAAAATATTTTGCTTTTTTTTTTTAATTTTGTAGTAGTTTTTAGTACAACTCGGTTTGTCGGCTTTGATGTACTTTCCGGATGCATTCCACGGTGCTAAATCGCGGGCGTCTTGGAATTTCGGTTTGGCGGGACGCAGCGGACTTTTCGAGTTGCGCCATGCGACGATATTCGCGCACGCATAGATAACAGTAGTAGGTATAACAGATCAGCAGCAGCACGCATATAGCCACAGATGGTATCAGATACATTAGGCTAATACAATAATGCTCCTCCTCCAGCCAGTCCAAAATTGTAGTCGCGTTCATTGTGCAAAGTCTTGAGCTCGAGAGCTGTACGGAAACTGCGCACGTTGACTCAAGAGCCGTTTGAGCGTGTTCTTCGAGTACATTGAGAAAACAAAACTGCGCGTATATAATATAGAAACAAGTAAGCATTTTTCAGCCGGGTGCGAACGACCAAGTAATACTCGCTTTCAGTTCCATTTATTAGAAAGTAGGGGTGTATGACATTTTTATAGTCGTGACTTGTTAATTTTAAGCCAAATCTTCAGATGATTTGAATAGATTATATATATACTATATCTCTAAATGTGTCCTGATTGACTGACTGACCGACTGACCGACTGAATGATTGACTAACTAACAGATTGGTTATCAACGCACAGTCCAAACCCTAAGAGTTAAGAAGCTTGAATTTGCACTGTACCCTGTGATGGATATGCACGCTAGGACGCGGCGAAATTCCACCTGCAAGTTTGAAAAAATTGCCAAAAACAGTTGCATGAAACTTTCGTACTTCAAATAGATGTGGAGTTCAAGACAGTACGGGCAGATTTAACATTTTCACAGGCGAGAACTGAGTGAAAAAACTGTATATACAATTTTAAGCAAAAAACGGAAAAGGCCGGGTAATGTCCGCTAGTATCTATGTAGGTATTTAATACTTACGTGGAAGTTTGGCTGACTCCAGCTTAAAAGCTGTGGGTAAGTGGGCGTGGCACTAAAATTTTAAACACTTAAATGCAGGCATAAAAGAGTAAAGATTCCAAATAACAAATCGCAAGCTGCATAGGCACAGACCGCCAGATGGACAACCAATATACTCTTCTTTTCCAAATGAAAGCGTATTAATACATTATATATATAGACATATATAGTTGTGCATATAATCGGAGTGTGTGATTCATTGTGCAGCATTCGGTTTCTGGTTTGGCAAATCTTTCATTATCGTCAAACGGCTAGCGCATATTGCCAGTGGGGGATGCCAAGCAGCAGCAGCGGCAGCAGCGCCAGTGGGAATACCCTGTACATGATAAACAAACAGCCAGACGAAATGAGTGGATACTGGGACAAACCCTGGCAAAGTCCGGAGCTCTGCAGAGCTTCACAGTTCGCGTTGCAGACGAAACTCAATTCAACTTTGAAATTGTTCGACGCGCCGTTGCCTGTCTCTGACTTTTGACGCTTTATGACGAAGTAAAAAGCCAACAACAACAACAACTGACAGCCAGAGCAACGATATGTGTTAAATAACAACAACAACAACAACATTTATAAATATATGTGCAGCTCATATCTGGGCTGCGAGCTGATGAGCAAAGTTTTGATTAATTTAAATTTAGCCACAGTTTTTATACCCTTGCAGAGGGTATTATAATTTTGTCGTGAAATGTGTAACGCATAGAAGGAGACATCTCCGACCCCATAAAGTATATATATTCTTGATCAGTATCAACAGCCGAGTTGATATAGCCATGTCCGTCTGTCCGTCTGTCCGTCTGTCCGTCTGTCCGTCTGTCTGTTTCTATGCGAACTAGTCTCTCAGTTTTAAAGCTATCTTTATGAAACTTTGCAGAATTCCCTCTTTCTGTTGCACGCAGCTCATATGTCAAAACCAGCTGGATCGGACCACTATATCATATAGCTGCCATAGGAACGATCGGTCGAAAAGTAGGTTCTTGTATGAAAAACATTTTTGTTTATAAAGTTATCTTGACTAAACTTTGTATTTATTAGTTTTACTACGCTCCCCATATATATGCAAAATCCTATTAAGATCGGGCAACTATATCATATAGCTGCCATAGGAACGATCGGTCGAAAATTAAGTTTTTGTATGGAACATTTTTATGTTTTTCAAGATATCTTGACCAAACTCGGTATTTATTAGTTTTACTAGGCTCCCCATATATATGCAAAATCCTATTAAGATCGGACCACTATATCATATAGCTGCCATAGGAAAGATCGGTCGAAAATTAAGTTTTTGTATAGAAAATTTTTATGTGTTTCAAGATATCTTAACCAAACTCGGTATTTATTAGTTTTACTACGGTCCCCATATATATGCAAAATTCTATTAAGATCGGACAACTATATCATATAGCTGCCATAGGAACGATCAGTCGAAAATTATGCTGTTGTATGGAATTTTTTTGTTTTTCAAGATATCTTGACCAAACTCGGCATTTATTAGTTTTACTATGCTCCCTCCACTTATGCAAAATCTTATTCACATCGGGCAACTATATCATATAGCTGCCATAGGAACGATCGGTCGAAAATTAAGTTGTTGTATGGAAACCTGTTTTGTTTTTCAAGATATCTTAACCATACTCGGCATTAACTATTTTCCCTGTGCTTCTTAGATACGGGCAAAGCACTATGAGCATTTTGAAAAGGTTGGGTCTGCAAGGGTATTAAATCTTCGGTGTGCCGAAGATAGCACTTCTTTCTCGTTTTTTCTTCATATTTATTTTTAATATAATTTACTGCGCAGCTTTAACCTTAACATTGGGCTTATCTCAATTTATTTGTATTCTTATTTTATTTATTTTTATTCTGTTTTTTTTTCTCGGCTGCAATTCCAAGCCTTTGTGCGGCAAACATCTTTTTTGGCGCAGAAATTGTTATGCCAACTATTTTCGGATTCGGATATATATATGTATATTGCATTGCAGTTCGTCTTTTTGATCTGTATATACATATATATATATATCTATCTGGTACTCGTAGTAGTGGAAATAAGTTTTGAACGCACAACACACAAAGGAAAATTCGCATTCAATTTCGCAGGTGTTTGACTCGATGTCTACAAGGTGTGTGTGCGTGTGTGTGCGAATGTGTGTGGGTTGTCTGCCTTTGCCGATTGAAGCGCACGCGAGTTGCATTAAAGAGAATTTTCGTAAACTGCCGAAAATAACAACATAGTACAAATCTGCCTTTCTCTGCGGTCAGACAAGCTTAGAAGGAAACTATTTTCAATGTTAAATTCTTTTAAATAATCGAAACGTTTTTGATAAGTTCATTGTAAAGTCAAATTATCATACATCTATTAATATTTGGACTTTAAAAGCTCAGGAGAGGTAGAAAATATTTAGTTAATCAGATTACAACAATTTAGTATTTAGTATAAACAATTTAGTAATCGACTTTCAAGCTAACATGCCAAAAAACGAACCTTCGGACAAGAACTTTATATTTCGATCGTTCCTATGGCAAATTTGGTGTGTAGGCTCT